TTGGCCACTTGGAACTATAAATCCATTAAACCTCTTTCTGGCTGGGCACAGTGGCACACACTTGTAATCCCGGCACTTTGGGAAGCCAAGGTGGGCAGATCACCCGAGGTCAGGAGTTTGAGACCAGCCTGGCCAACATAGAAAAACTCTGTCTCTACTAAAAATGCAAAAGTTAGCTGGGCACAGTGGCAGATGCCTATGATCCCAGCTACTCGGGAGGCTGAGGCAGGAGAATTGCTTGAACCCAGGAGGTGGAGGTTGCAGTGAGCCAAGATCGCGCCACTGCACTCCAGCCTGGATGACAGAGCAAGACTCTGTCTCAAGCAAACAAACAAACAAAAACTCTTGTAAATTTCCCAGTCTCAAGTATGTCTTTATCAGCAGTGTGAAAGCAGACTAAAAAACTGTTTCTATTTATATGAAAATCTCAATAAACTTTCATTATCCAAAATGATAATTTAAACATTACATACCTATACATACATGCACACTTAGGTTTGAATCTTGGTTCAGCTGCAACATAACTAAATGTCCTTGGACAAAGTATTTAATGTCTCAGTGTCATATGTAAAATGGAGATGATAGCAGTAAGTGATTAATAGGGTTTCTGTAAATATTAAGTAACAGATGTGAATGACAGAATCCAAGTATTAAATGAGATAATCTATGTAAAGCAACTGGAACACGGCCTGGCATATAATAAGTACTTAATAAATATTAACAGTTACTGTTAAATATACACAAAGTATATTTGTGTCTAGACTAGGAGAAAGCATTAAAATATGAAGTGGCATTGCAAAAAACAAGAGTAAAAAGAAGAAATCGGCCAGGTGCAGTGGCTCAGGCCTGTAATCCCAGCACCTTAGGAGGCCAAGGTGGGTGGATCACAAGGTCAAGAGATTGAGACCATCCTGGCCAACATGGTGAAACCCTGTCTCTACTAAAAATACAAAAATTAGTTTGGCATGGTGGCTCTCACCTGTAGTCCCAGCTACTCAGGAGGCTGAAGCAGGAGAATCGCTTGAACCCAAGAGGCAGAGGTTGCAGTGAGCCGAGATCACGCCACTGCACTATAGCCTGGTGACAGAGCAAGACTCCGTCTCAAAAAAACAAAACCAAAAGGAAGAAAAAGAAATCATAAGGTACATTAAAGTTTAGAGACAGATTCAGTTAGAGAGACAGAGAGAGAGAGAGAGAGAGAGAGAGTGTATGTGTGTGTGTGTGTGTGTGTGTGTGTGTGTGTGTGTGTGTGACACAGTCTCACTCTGTTGCCCAGGCTGGAGTGCAGTGGCAGGATCTCAGCTCACTGCAACCTCTGCCTCCTGGATTCAAGCAATTCTCCCTCCTCAGCCTCCTGAGCAGCTGAGACTACAGGCACACACCACCACCACGCCCAACTAATTTTCGTATTTTTTGGTAGAGATGGGGTTTCACCCTGTTGGGCAAGCTAGTCTCAAACTCCTGACCTCAAGTAATCCGCCTGCCTCAGCCTCCCAAAGTGCTGGGATTACAAGCATAAGCCACTGCACCTGGCTGATTCAGTGACTTTTTCAATACACAAAAGAGTTTATTTTTTCATTATTCTGTGGGAAAATGTATTATCTCAGTTTTCAGTAACAAAATGTGCCAGGCACATTATAGATTCTCAATAGTCACTGAATTGAACTATATCAATGTAATGAGATTGTCTTAATAAACAAGGAAAAAAGGTTTGTCACTTTTTGACCCCATTAACTTCTATTTCTCCTTTAGACAGTCTCTTTCAGTGACCACATTATCTCACCATTCCTTTCCCTAGAGAGTTAGAATTCTTTTTTTTTTTTTTTTTTTTTTTTTTGAGATGGAGTCTCACTCTGTCGCCCAGGCTGGAGCACAGTGGTGCAGTATCAGCTCACTGCAACCTCCGCCACCCAGGTTCAAGCAATTCTCCTGCCTCAGCCTCCCGAGTAGCTGGAACTACAGGCATGTGCCACCAGGCCCAGCTAATTTTTTTTAACCTTAGGAGAGACGGGGTTTCACCGTGTTAGCCAGGGTGGTCTTGATTGCCTGACCTCATGATCCACCCACCTCAGCCTACCAAAGTGCTGGGATTACAGGCCTGAGCCACCACACCTGGCTGAAAGCTAGAATTTTTTTTTTTTCTTGAGATGGGGTTTCGCTCTTGTTACCCAGGCTGGAGTGCAATGGCACGATCTCGGCTCACTGCAACTTCCACCTCCTGGGTTCAGGCAATTCTCCTGCCTCAGCCTCCTGAGTAGCTAGGATTATAGGCACGCGCCACCATGCCCAGCTAATATTTTTTTTGTATTTTTAGTAGAGACGGGGTTTCACCATGTTGACCAAGATGGTCTCGATCTCTTGACCTCGTGATCCACCCGCCTCGGCCTCCCAAAGTGCTGGGATTACAGGCTTGAGCCACCACACCCGGCCGACTAGAATTATTAAAAGTAGAATGTAGGATTTTCTCCCCATTTGAACAGTAAGATCTACATTGAGAAAGTATAGTGCTCTCCACTGCTTTCTAACAAGTGCTCCTAAAAGTGTGACAAATTAGGAAAACATTAAATGCGGCAAAAATAAACATAAGGCAATAGAAAAACAAATAAATGACTGAGTATGGAGAGAAGAAAAAAATTCAAATCAAGAACTGTATATTTTTAATGTAGTACTTGTTTGGTAAAAAAAAAATTATGGCCATATCTATGTGGCAAATACCCCCATATTTTCATTTTTGAACACATATTATTCATTTAATTTGTAGCCTAAATTGAATGTCAAACTGCAGTTTGTCTAATTTGAGATGGAAACTGGTTTCCTAATACTGTTTTATAAATAGTTCCTGAAGAAGTCTATTTATACATTTTAAGGTTTTTGTGTAAATACAAAATTTTTTAGAGATAATTTCTGAAAGATCGTCTGTGAAACTACAGCCATTAGCTCTAGTTCACACACACATGCTTGTGAAACTATACAAGTACATATGTGCAAGCACATATGCTCAACTTGACCTCTCAACCCTACTACTTCTTCAATATTTTCACCAGCTTGAAAATATTTTACTAAGTTCTGAAAAGATGTTATAACTATTGATTAATACATTGACTCTTTCAAATGTATCTTAGAGGAGGAAGGGAAAAACAGCAAAGTGCTGGTGTTTAAGGGCTATGGGATAATGAATAAAACTAATGGCTCTAGTTTTTTGTTTGTTTGGTTTTAAAAGCTTTATAATTTATTTAACAAAAAAGTATGTGGAAACTTAAACACAAAGTTTACATAAGTAAGAGACCATGAGATGGTACCCAATGTCCCACATCCTCCTAAGGACAAAACATGCTGATGAAAACATCTACAAAAACTAAAGATTCCACAAGCTAAAGAAGTTCATCTTTTCCATATTTGTCATGCAGTTTCAATGACTTCTTGCCCAGTCCTCCATATAATTGCAACTGACCACTGGGAAGACTGGCTAAATTCCTGCATATATCCTAGGTACCGTAAAGCAACCCTAGTACATCTCTGAGTTTTTTGTTTGTGTTTTTTTAAGTTCTGGGATACATGTGCAAAACATGCAGGTTACATAGGTATACATGTACCATGGTGGTTTGCTGCACCTATCAACCTGTCATCTAGGTTTTAAGCCCCACATGCATTAGACATTTGTCCTAATGATCTCTTTCCCTTTGCTCCCCACCCCACAACAAGCCCCAATGTGTGATGTTCCCCTCCCTGTGTTCATGTGTTCTCATTGTTCAACTCCCACTTATGAGTAAGAAAATGTGGTGTTCGGAGCCAGGCGTGGTGGCTCAAGCCTGTAATCCCAGCACTTTGGGAGGCCAAGGTGGGTGGATCACGAGGTCAAGAGATCGAGACCATCCTGGTCAACATGGTGAAACCCCGTCTCTACTAAAAATACCAAAAATTAGCTGGGCATGGTGGCACATGCCTGTAATCCCAGCTACTCAGGAGGCTGAGGCAGGAGAATTGCCTGAACCCAGGAGGCAGAGGTTGCGGTGAGCCGAGATGGCGCCACTGCACTCCAGCCTGGGTAACAAGAGCGAAATTCCGTGTCACAAAAAAACAAACAAACAAACAAAAAAAAAAGAAAGAAAGAAAGAAAATGTGGTGTTCGGTTTTCTGTTCCTGTGTTAGTTTGCTGAGAATGATAGCTTCCAGCTTCACCCATATCCCTGTCAAGGACATGAACTCCTTCTTTTTTACAACCACGGCTCTCGTTTTTAAAAAGCCTTATACATATTATGTGTGCAATCATTCCAATGGAAAATAAACACCTTTCACATCTGTGTTAAGAATAGCATATTGGCTGGACATGGTGGCTCACACCTGTAATCCCAGCACTTTGGGAGGCCAAGGTGGGAGGATCACCTGAGGTCAGGAGTTTGAGACCAGCCTGGCCAACATTGTAAAACCCGTCTCTACTAAAAATACAAAAATTAGCCAGGCATGGTGGTGGTACATGACTGTGATCTCAGCTACTCGAGCAGCTGAGACAAGAGAATCGCTTGAACCCAGGAGGGGGAGGTTGCAGTAAGCCAAGATTGTACCATTGCACTCCAGGCTGGATGACAAAAGTGAAACTCTGTCTCAAAAAAATAATAATAATAACAACAACATATTAAAATTTTTAACTGATAAAAGTTTATCTGTGGAAGGTACAAAATCTCATACCTAAAGAATAGTTAAAAGTCAAAAATGCCCAAATATACATATCAATGTATGACTTTACCATATAATTTCTTACCAGGGTCTCTAAAATAGAAAAATTTACTACTTGTTCTATGTATAAAAACTCATGAGCCATATCTCAAGGATATCTGATAATTTCAATATTCACAAATCTTAGTGGAAGCAGCCTGATAATGAAAGCTTCTGGCAGCCAAATACATGATTAAGTCAGCAAATGTTTATTGAACTACCTACTGCAAATCCACTGTGTTATACTCAAAGCAGCAGTTCTTAAGCAATCAGAAATTGCTACTCACCAGCAAGGGTGTAATCCATATCAAAACCAAAACACTTTATCTTTTCCATGGCTAAGCTTCGATTCACAAACACCCTATAGAAAAGAATTTTTAAAAAAAATCTCAATTAAAAATAAATTCTCAAGTTTAATAAAGTTATATGGCTGTTTTTCTAGATTTTCTCATTTTTTCCAACCAATTGTTTAAACTTTTAAAATTATATACTAAGATGTATAATAAAACATGTTGTCCAATATACTTACCTTGGGACACATATGCACAGTGAAATTATTAATACAGTCAAATAAATTAACATACCCATTATCCCATATAGTTACCTTTCTTTCTTTGTGGTACAAGTACTTAAAATCTACTGTCTTGGCAAATTACCAGTATATAATACAATATTATTAAATATAGTCCTCATGCTATACATTAGATCTCTTAGACTTATTCATCCAACATAACTACAACTTCACACCCTTTGATCTACATCTTTCTATCCTTCCCCAACACTGTTTTGTTTTATTTTTTTAGGGCAGAGTCACTCTGTCACCCAGGCTGGAGTGCAGTGGCACAATCACAAGTCACTGCAGCCTCAGCCTTCTGAACTCAGGAGATCCTCTCACCTCAGCCTCCCCAGTAGCAGGAACTACAGGTGCATGTCATGAAGGCTGGCTAATTTTTTATTTTTGGTAGAGACAGAGTCTCACCTATATTGCTTAGGCTGATCTTGAACTCCTGCTCTCAAGCAATCCTCCTACCACAGCCTCTCAAAGTCCTGGGATTAGAGGCATGAGCCACCATGCCTGACCTCCAATCACTGTTTTGCTCTGTTTGTATGGTTTTGTTTCTTGATTGCTTTTTAGATTCCACATGTGAAATCATGCAGTATTTTTTTTGTGTGTCTGGCTTTTTTCACTTAGCATAATGTCTTCTAGGTTCATCCATGGTGTTGCAAATGGTAGACTCTCCTTTTTTAAGGCTGAATATTCCACTGTGTGTATATATACCACAATTTCTTTATCCATTCATTCAGCCCATAGAGAGATATTTTGTTTTTTTCCATCTCCTGGCTATTGTAAATAATGTTACAATGAACATGGGAGTGCAGATATCTTTATTAAGTAGTGATTTTCTTTCCCTTAGACATATAACCAGAAGAATTGCTGGGTCATATGGCAGGTCTGTTTTCAATTTCTTTAGGAAGCTCTACAGCACTTTCACAGTGGCTGCATCAATACACATTGCCATCAATAGTTTACAAGGGTTCCCTTTTCACTGCATCCTTGCCAAGACTTATTTCCTATCTTTTTGATAAAAGGCATTCTAATAGGTATGAAATATCTCGTTGTGGTTTTGATTTGTACTTCCCTGATGATTAATGATGTTAAGCACCTTTTCAAATACCTGTTAGCCATTTGCATGTCTGCTTTGGAGAAATATCTACTCAGGACCTTTGCCCATTTTTAGGTTATTCCTTTTTTTGCTATTGTTTGAAGTCCTTATGTATTTTAGATATTAATCCTTTATCAGATACATGGTTCACAAACAGTTTCTCCAAATCCATAGGCTGCCTTTTTTTTTTTTTTTTTTTTTTTTTTTCCCCTGAGATACGAGTCTCACTCTTGTCACCCAGGTTGGAGTGCAGTGGTGCAATCTTGGCTTACTGCAGCCTCTGCCTCCCAGGTTCAAGCAATTCTCCTGCCTCAGCCTCCTGAGTAGCTGGGACTACAGGCACGAGTCGCCACACTCGGCTAATTTTTGTATTTTTAGTAGAGATGGGGTTTCACCATGTTGGCCAGGATGGTCTTAATCTCTTGACCTTGTAATCCACCTGCCTTGGCCTCTCGAAGTGCAGGGATTACAGGTGTCAGCCACCACACCTGGCCTGCCTTTTTATTTTATTGTTTCCTTTGCTGTGAAGAAGCTTTTTAGTTTGAGATCGTCCCACTTGTTTTTGCTTTTGTTGCCAGTGCTTTTGGTGTCCTATCCAAAAAAAATCACTGGCAAGACCAATGACATGAAGCTTTTCCTTTGTTCTCTTTTAGATCATCATCTTTTTTTTTTTTCTTTCTGAGACCAAGTCTTGCTCTGTCACTCAACCTAGAGTGCAGTGGAGTGATCTCAGCTCACTGCAACCTCCATCTCATGGATTCAGGTGATTCTCCTGCCTCAGCCTCCTGAGTAGCTGGGATTTTAGGCACCTGCCACCACACCCGGCTAATTTTTGTATTTTTAGTCGAGACGGGATTTCACCATTTTGGCGAGGCTGGTCTCAAACTCCTGACCTGGTGATCCACCCACCTTGGCCTCCCAAAGTGCTGGGAATACAGGCGTGAGCCACTGTGCCCAGCCTCTTTTAGATCCTCTCATTTAAATATCAGTATTAAAATCCCTATTAATAATTATTCAAGACCAGGCACAGTGGCTCACAATTGTAGCATTTTGGGAGGCCAAGGCAGGCAGATGGCTTGAGCTCAAGAGTTCAAGACCAGTCTGGGTAACATGGGGAGACCCCCAACTCCACAAAAAATACAAAGATCAGCCAGGCATGGTGGTGTGCACCTGTGGTCACAGCTACTTGGGAGGCTGAGGTAGGAGGACTGCTTGAGTCTGGGAGATCAAGGTTGCAGTGAGCCAAGATCACACCACTGCACTCTAGCCAAGGTGGAAAAGTGAGACTTTGTTCCCCAAAAATGTAACAAATAAATTAAAAATTAAAAAATAGTATTCAAGTCTTTCTTATACATACAGTAAATAAAATCAGATATTATACAAAAATACACAGATTTGTGTATCACGTCCTGGCATTAAAAATGCCACACATTCAATATTTCAGGGAAGAGGCTCTCCTTTTCAAAGTTTGACCCCATAAAATAAGATTACTTTTGGGATTTTATAAGTTATTAACTTATTAATTTGTAATTTATTTAATAAACAAGGGTCATTTAAAGCCCACCAAAGATATAAATATAGATTCATTAAATAAATTGCTACTGTCTGTTATACTGGATACTTTGATTGAACAAAAGACTACCAGCCATCATTAAACTTATATTGTAATTTACTCTCTTTATCCCTGAGGAACTCGGCCTACTAGGAGACTTATAAGTGAGTATTCAGCAATACAGTAAGTACTATAAAATAACATGGAGGAGAGAGTACCAGTTGTTTAGAGAGGTCAGGAAGAAATGTTTGAACTGAGTATTAATCAGTAGTTTTCCATTAGGAAAACGCAAGAAAAGCAATGCAGGAAAAATAACCAAGCAAGAAAAAGGTTTACAGTAAACTACAAATCATTTATTGTGGCTGAAGTTGAGCTTTCTTTGGTTTTGCTTCTCTGTTTTCACAGAAAGAGATTTGCTATGGGGCTAGGATGGGGGAAGGAGCAATTAAAGCTATCAAAGGTTAGTAGGGGTCAAAATCATGATGATTTTGTATGCCACATTAGGGAATTTGGACTTTCTCCTGCATTTAAGACCAAAATATCAGATTTTAAGTAAATGAAATAAGCAGAAAGATCACTACGGAGACATAGGGAAAACTGAACATATAATAACATGGTAGATTATCATCATAATGGTCTTTCAAGGTAAGTTTTAAACATCTATAAAAATAAGTACTGGGTATAGTGGCTCACGCCTGTAATCCCAGTACCCTGGGAGGCCGAGGCGGGTGGATCGCTTGAGCACAGGAGTTCAAGACCAGCCTAGGCAATATGGCAAAACCCTGTCTCTACAAAAAATACAAAAAAAAAAAAAAAGCTGGGTGTGGTGGCACGTGCCTATACGTCCCAGCTACTTGGGAGGCTGAAGTGGGATCTCCTGAGCCTGAGAGGTTGTAATGAGCCAAGATTGTACCACTGCACTCCAGCCTGGGTGACAGACTGAGTATCTGTCTCAAAAAGAAAAAAAAAAGACTAGAAAAGAGAAAGAAAATAAGGTTATCCTTTCCACCTGATCCTCAGCTTGGCAGCCAAAGTTAAAACTGCATGGCTTCTCCTCTTATTATCAAACCTTTTATTTGCCTTCATTTCATAAGTAACTGTAAGAAGTTAAAAAGATACAATTCAGTGGATCCCAAAACTACAGTGTACATCAAAATCACAATCACCTAAGTAACTCGCTAATATCAGATCTTCTACTGATATTTACCTCACCATTTTAAAATGTCTAATTTATATATGTTTCTTATTCGTTTTCAAGACAGGTTCTTACTCTGTCGCCCAGGCTGGAGTGCAGTGGTGTGATAATGGCTCACTTGCTGTCTCAACCTCCCAGGCTCACGTTATCCTCCTACCTCAGCCTCAGCCTCCCAAGTAGCTGGGACCACAGGTACACACCACCACACTCAGCTATTTTTCTTTTTATTTTTTTTTTCTTTGTAGAGACAGCCTTGGAGTCTTTTTTAAAAAGGAGTTTGGGACCAGGAGTGGTGGCTCATGCCTGTAATCCCAGAACTTTGGGAAGCCAAGATGGGAGGACTGCTTGAGCCCAGGAGTCTAAGACCAGCCTGGGCAATATGGTGAGACCTTATCTCTACAAAAACTAAAAAATTAGCCAGGTATAGTGGCACATGCTTGTAGTTCAGCTACTCAGGAGGCTGAGGCAGGAAGATCACCTGAGCCCAGGAGGTCAAGGCTGCAGTGAACTGAAATTGTGCCGCTGCACTCTAGCTTGGGCAACAGAGTAAGACCCTATCTCAAACAAACAAACAAAAACACCTTCCAACCTCCAATCCCCAAACATATCACCTTCTAATATTTCATCAAATATCACCCTGCTATTACTGATAAAAGCATCTACTTTATTTTCCCAGTTATGTAAATCTTTTTGAAAGTACAACAAGGATAAAAGACAAAACAATGGTTGTAACTCTAGAAACTAAATGTCACTACTGAAGGCTTTTCACCAACTGGATCAAATCCTTGATCAGGCCCTAACAGCTGACATGCCTAAAATATTCTATGGAAATACATGCAGGAATGGATTGGGGAAGATTTTTTTTTCCCTTGTGATGCAATCCAGGAGAGAAATACATAGAACCACATAATAAAAGAAATGGCTTTGACTCTCATAGAAGAAAGATGCTG